AGAGTAAGTAAAGTAAACAGCCAGAAATAGAACCAGTATTTATATAAAGGAATAATATGTGATCCTGTGTTCCTGAGATATATAACTCAATTATTAAAACGATGAGATGACAACGACTTAGTAGACTTAAAACACAAAAATGTATTCAGGACATGAATATTTCGACCTATGCCTGGGTCTTCTTCAGACAAATGAAATACATGTGTTTGCTAGTACACAAATATAATATAAAGTATAATCAAATTATACATTTTATATCGAGATTTTTGTAATAGCTTACACACTATCCTTTACAGATAAAATTGCAAGAAATTAATTAACATTTATCAATCTATAACAAAGAAATCACTAATTTAAATGTCAATCTAAAATTATAATGGTTATTTGTAAAAGCAACGAGGTACAGTATAACATTAAATTACCTCCATGGTAAAAGGTACAGTATGTCAAAGCCATGAAAAATCCGTTCTTGCCACTGGAATGTGTGTATGTCGTCATTTGTATGGTGCAGCTTTGTATAGGTTTATATCAATAAAAACTACCTATGGCCTTAAATACTTCAATTGTATTAAATAATGCAAAATGGCTTTCGCAGACACAACAACAATCATTGCTCACACTAACAAAAAAATCGTTTTCGGTACGTTGTTTTTTTCCCCTTGATATAGGCCTATTTCCTCCATGGATACACTACAAAAGACCATTTTTCTGTAACCCCAAATCAGTATTATTATTATTAATCTTTTGTTAAAACTAAGACCAAAATTGCCATGTGAAAATGAAAAATGGTCTTTAATTGGAAAGAGACCTCTATTTTGATAATATTATGATAATACAGATTTATTTAATCGATACGGTACCAACAACAGAAACTTAATGTATTAGAATATTTATGTATAATGCTTGAAATCATATATGATGTCTTTTTTTGTATCTTCTTTGTTGTTACAAAATTCTGGTTTTTTTTTAAAGAATGTACTTAAAGCTCTGTAGGACTACAGATTGTCAAATTTTCTTTGACAAAAAATGTTTTATGCCATATATGGTCATTATATGCCTATATGGTCATGATGTGATGTCATTATGACCATATTTAGGTAAGATTTTTTGGAGTAATTATGATTAAATCAAAGAATATTTGGATCGGCCCAACAATATTTCTATAACTTATAAAGTGGTATAAACCGTGAATATGTAAATTTAAAAAATTGTTTCTTGACATAGATCCTTTTTGAATCACAAATATAAGTCTAGTTACTATATCAGTAATTTATGTAAAGTTTATATACTCAACCGGTATCATGATAAGACTGAATCTATAAAATAACAAAATACTAGCATAATGCTCGTTATTATGATGATAATCAAAGATGACAAAATAATTTTGATAGTAATGATGCTGTATGATAATGACTGACGATAATAGCCTCATGATGATAATTTTAATGACAACGAAGGTTAAATTTATAAACTAGAACAAGAAAAGAAATGTAGGCCTACAGCACATCATTTTACATAGATTTCAATATTGCAACAGTTTTTTGCAATAAAGCCGATATAATTAGTCACACATAGGCCTACTAAAAGTCCGTATTTGGAATCCTTTGTCCTTGCTGTTTCTTTAATGACTCTAATATAACAAGGAATTACACATACTCTTACATATTTTTTGTTTTATTATAATTTGATAAAATGAATCAAAATTATTACAAGTATGCATGACTCCCTGTCAAATAGCAATATATTTTGAAATCAAGTTTCGTTTTAAACAATACTTTTGGCCTATCAAAAAGAAACTAAAGGTACCTGAAGCTTACTTCTCCTTCAACAGGTTTTCTTTTAACAGAAATATTAGGCTTATGTATTCGTTTCATTCTTCAAGTCCTCTCTTGCAAAAAGAAATAACACAAATACAATACGTAGGCACCGGCTATCCATGCGTGTCAAAAGAATGACAATTGTTCAGGGGTTAAGGTAGGGTAGGCCTAATTCTGCCTATTTTATAGTGGTTACTATCATAATGTAGTCGTAATTATCATATTTCAAATTGGTAATGTTTAATGGAAAATCTACATTCCACTCGATTTAAAGCCTTGTCCAAACTATCACATTTTGTTTGACAAAAACATGTGACACGTGGTCATCATAATAATATTAATAATAACAAAGATTGTCATTATGGGCATACAACAGTTATTTTGTCAAATAAATTTTGATAGTCTATGCAGGACTTAAAAAAGTCCATAAAATTTTATATATTTGTTTGAAATACTTTTTATACACTTGGAATACAGTATTGTAGGCCTATTGTATTGTGTAACAACCGTGTAGGTCTATGTTGTACGTTTTAAGATTTGTGTATTATCGAAACGTTGAGACATTCAACTATCTACGTAGTGTAACGATTTATATCCGCTCTGGTCTACCATTGAGCACTCTGCCTGTAATACTTGCGATAGTTTATTTCAGTTATACA